GACCGACCTTTTCGACGAATCCGTATTTGGAGAAGATGGTGTGAATGACTTCGAGCTCGACGGGGTATGCGATGTTGGTGACATAGACGAGGAGCACCCGGCAGTCCTTGTGCCGCTCCTGGTTGGTCACCACCTGCTGCTTGGTCGAATAGCAACCCACGAAGCGCACGCCACGCACCGCCACGTGGCCCTGACGGATATACGACAGCGCATGGGTCGACGCGCCCTCGTCCTGACACACACACACACGGAGAGAGAAAGAGCATGCACCTACTACCACCCGGATGGCGAGTGTTGCCGCGTCGGTGGGGTGCGTGACTCGCCTCACCGGGAACTCTACGAATGCCTGTCCGGTGGATGGGTTATGGAACATCCTGAGGTCGATGCCGGGCTGCGTCCACGGCTGCAGGGCCTGCTTGATCTCCGACTCATTGATGTTGCGGGGCAGGTTGCGGATGAGCAGCACCTTGGAGGGCGGCGCATCCATGTCGGGCTGGTGCCGCTTGGCCATCATCTCACTACCGTCGCCGCCGGGAGGACCCGCCTCCAACGCCCTCTTGCCTTCATCAAATGAAGCCACACACACAACATATCAACATGTCAACAACAGGACAGAATGTGCACCCACAGCTCAGCTGCCTCCCACGTGTGTGTTGTGTGTGGACCCTCTCAGCTGAGCGTACCGGCCTGCATCATCCTGTCGACGCTTCTACGTCAGGCGGGCGACCGATGGGATGGCTGGGCAGACAGAGTAGAGAGGGAGCACGACACGGCGGGGAGGAACAGGGGAGGGATGTGGTAAGGCAGCGAGGCGAGTGTAGGTCAGGCAAGGCAGCTCAGCGGCAGGGAGGGAGGGAGGGAGGGAGGGTCAGGAGGGAGGGCGGGAAGGGGGACGGGACATACAGGGGAGCCAGCCAGCTACTGGCAGCGCACAGGAGCTTCAAGCGAAGGCCAGATGAGGCCAGACAAGGCAGAGAAAGCGGCCAAGAGTCAGCAAGGCAGCTTCGCTCCGGCTCGCATAGCTCGCAACCTATTTGCCGCTGGCATAAAAACCAAACGAGGGCCTTCTTCACTACTCTATAGTGAACACCAGCCCGGGCGCCAACGACGTGATCATTACGACCACTTATTTCAACGAATTGGTCTTCCCTTGCTTCATCTGGGCTTCGGGAGGAGGCGTTTCGTCATCTCAAGGGTGCTGTTGTGCTGTCCTGGTGCGCTGGCTGAACCACCCCCAGCATCCCCTCGGCTACCGACGTCCACGGCCTTCCCCTTGCTGAGCCTCGAGGGGCTGCATGCACGCCATCACTGCTCAACATCCGCCTCACTCACCCACTCAGCCACGAGGTGCGCCTGCCCCAAGAGAGCCAGGCGGCCTTTTCGCAGGCCCTCTGCTGTTGCTGCTGCTGCCGACGAGGAGGAGGGCGAGGGGCGCGAGCACGACGGACGGGGCAGCATGGGAAAGGCCATTCGGGCGGCTTCCACCTATGTCGTCTATTTCGTCGCTATCCTTGGTACATACAGACAGAGGGACAGACAGACAGACTTTTCATGCGTCAGTCAGCTTTCTTTCTCTCTCTCTGCTGTCATTGGATGCATTGGCGCAGCTTCCTTCGCTTTGATGACTCAGCTGTTATCTTACTGGACTGTGTTTCCACCACTGGGCCTGTGTCTTCGGCTGGCCCGCCCGTGGCCGTCCGCGCGGGACCCCCTGTTGGCCAAGCTTGACGCCCTCGACGCGCGCATAGCGCTGCTCAGCAATGTGACCGACGCGCGGCACCATGAAGACCAAAGGCGGCTGGCGGCACGGCAGAGTGACGTGCAGCAGGTCATGCAGGCCGTCGAGGGCCTTTCCGCCACCGTCAGTGCGCTGGAGTCCCAGCAGGCCAAGCGACTGGATGACACGGCTTTGAGAAACAACGTGTCGAATCTGGTGTGGCGGGTGCAGCGGCTGCAGGAGGCCACTACGGGGACGCTGAATCGGCACAGGAACGACGTGCTGAGGGCGCTGGGTGAGATCAACAAGAAGGCCGGGCTGATTGAGCAGAGCATCAACCAGCTCAACGACACGTGCAAGGCGAGATATGACGGGCCCGTGTACATCGCCCTCACGACCATCCCTTCCAGGCTCAGCGAGCTCAAAACGTACACACACAGACACACATAAACACGCGGCCGACACAGTCAAGGCACGTCACATCTATGCTTCTGCCTCTGTCTGTGCAGGTACCTGGTGCAGCTTGAGAAGCAGACGTATCCGATCCATGAGGTGCTGCTGTCCGTCCCATATGTCTTCAAGCGCACCGGGGAGCCTTACCCTGACCCCCTCCCGGCATACCTCACAGACGGCACCCTCAGGCGCACCCGCGTCATCCGCGGCGAGGACTACGGCCCCGCCACCAAGTTCCTGATGCCGCTCAAGGAGGCCCAGCTTGACGACAAGAGCGCCCTTGTGGTGCTGGACGATGACCTCACCTATAGCAGACATCTCGTCTGCGACTACGTGCACGTAAGTGGCCAGGGAGAGAGGGAAAGGGCGAACAACATCACGGAATGATCGCCATTGCCGTTTCCGACCTCAGGTGCACCGTCTGTTCCCCGATGCGGCCCTGACGCGTCGAGGTCAGACGTTCAACGAGGTGTGCGATCCGTCCTACCTGACGGAGCGGACCTTCAGGGCGTCCCACGACCGGAAAGACCCCAATTTTGTGGTCCAGCAGGTCCATACCATCAACGGCGTCGGGTCGTTCTTCGTGCAGAAGAGGTTTTTCGACGACAAGGTGCTCAGCTACGAGGGGTGCCCGCCACACCTGAGGTCAAAAGTTTACCTCACAGACGACCTGTGGGCCTCGGGGTAAGCGAGCGGCTCACACACACACACACACACACAAGCAAACGAGCGAGGGATGTGTGGTTGGTTGGGTGGGTGGATGGATGGTTCTGCGATGTATGTGTGTGTGTGTGTGTGGCTGTGGGTGTAGGTATCTCGCGTACCGTAAGGTTCAGAGGATCGCCTTTTCGACTCGGCTGGCGAATCCTGACTTGGAGATCCACAAGGCGTATCAGCTGAGGACGGGGCCGGAAGGCCTGTTCATCCTCCTCAACAACCAAACCGACAACAACAACGTCGCGGCAAGGGCACTCGCACTCTACTGGTGCGCTCTCTACCATCCATCCAGTGGCCACGTGTTGCAACTCACCATGTGTGTGTGTGTGTGTGTGTGTGTGTGTGCTTGATGCAGGGGCTGTGATCCCGGCTACATCCGGCGGACCTTCTCTGGTGAGATATGTGACTTCGACGCCCAGCTGCCCTTGCAGCTGATCATCAAAGAAAGGGGAGAGCAGGACGACACACACCCACAACGCAACAGCAACAACCACCGCCCACCACTCAGACTGGCACGGAGGCAGCATCAGGTACAGAGACAACAGCAGCAGCAGGAGGAGCCGCCGGCAGATCGGCATGCAGATGTGGAGGCCGATGGGGGTATGGCTGACGATGGTGGAGAGGATGAGCGTGTCGACGATGTGCCGATAGAGGGAGAGGGGCGGCGGAGGGGGCGCGGGGACGGCAATAGTAAAGGGGCGCAGGAGGGAGATACTGTAAGGGAGTGATCCATCGATCCACCGATAGATCGACTGGCCTTTTCCCTCCTCCCTCCCTGCCTGTCTGTCTGTCTGCCTGTGTCTGTCCGTCGGCCAATATGTGTGTGTCACGTGTGTGTGAGGGTGGGATGGGATGGGCTGGGCTGTTGGTAGTGAGGGGAATGAGGGGCAGGCCATGTACTGTAAATGTACTGTCGGTCGGTCGGGCGGCTGGCTGCTGGGGCGCAGGGGAGGGCAAGGGAGGGAGAGGGGTGAATGCAAGAGAGAGGGGGCAGGGGAGAGCGGACGCTTTTCTCTCGCTGCGGTGAGTGAGTGAGGAGTGAATGCAATGGAGAGCCAGCCACACGGGCCCAGGAGAGAAAAGCGTCCGCCTTTTCGGGCGCGAATAGCGCCCCAACCACCCGTCGCTTGCTTGCTATTTGCTGCTTTTGCTGTCTTAACTGGGTTCCACTGCACTCATCCATCGATCCATCGATCCATCGATCATCGGCCTGTTTGTGTGAGTATACACTCGTCTGTACATATGTATTCTTTCCGTATGTGTACCGTCGTGTTTGTCGGGTACCTACCGGTGTTTGCCGCTCGTGAGGGAGTGAGGGACTGAGTGAGTGAGTGACGCACCAATTTTGCGTGCCTGGAGCATGGCCGGCCAGTCCGCCCATGAGTCAGTCGTCGTGTGTGCTTTCGTACCTATTTATAACTCCCATCCCATCCACCTTCCTTACATACCCACGTGGGCCCCACTGGCCTCTCACTGGCTGGGTCGTCATTTGTGGCATTTCTTCACGCGGCTGGCCGAGACCACTCGTCACGTCGGCGTGTGTGTTGTGTGTGCGCGTTGGTGTCCTTGCGTGTGAGCAAACGTTTATTCGGCAGTTTTTCAGTGGGATTCGTCGCGTCAGCGCGCGAGCCCTGGATAGATAGGGAGACGATGATTCATGTTGTCAGGCTGCCTGATGCCACAGCTGGATGTGCGTGTCGACCCCCCTCCCCCACAGGTACATGGTGACCATGCAGTTGAGTCGATGTTATCTGTCTGGCCACCCCGTCGTGACAAACCCTGCACAACTCTTCGGTCTTCAAACCCTGGGCATTGGTTGAGCTTGCTGACGTCATCCGGCATGGATTGCTCGAAGCAAGGAGGCCCTCCGGATGGTCTGCGGAGCCTTAGATGATTGATTCCTTTCTCGCCTCCTCTCTCCGAAGCGTCTTCTTGCCTCCCAAGCCAACCGATGCATTCCTTCCCTCGCTGCCACTGCAACAGCCGTCCCTCACAACACGACGACACGGCGCATGCATGCCTCTGGCACTCGTCTACCCACCAGCACGGAGGAAACCAGCTCAAGACGCACAGGAGAATGGGCGCGTGACCGCATCCATTGCGCCTCTGGCCGTGCCGCCGTCCACAGATCCGCAGGAGACCCCTCCGCTCATCAATGTGACGCTTGGATCCACAGCTAGACTTCGGATGGCTGTTGAGGAGTCTGGTCACTTTCCGCTGTGTGGTGGAGGGGCGGCGGACAGCGCGACGGGAGGAGAGTCGAGAAGAAGCCGGGAGAATGGGTGCTGCCTTCGTGCTATCCAGGACAGCCAGCTGGCGAAGGCGCTGTTCCACCTCACAGGACGCCTTGCCCCCTGCCCACAAGACAGCTCTCTCGCCCCGCGGCCCCTCGATGATGCGAAGAGTCACTATCGCGTGTTCGTCACCGGCGCCACCGGTTTCCTCGGCTCACATCAGCTGGTCTCGCTGCTCAAGACGGGTCGCATAGAGGAGGTTTGCTGCTTCGTCCGAGCGCGGGACGGCCACACGGCCCTCCAGCGGCTGCAGGCGGCCCTTTCATCGCATGGACTGTCCCTCTCTGCGGATCAATGGGCTCGTGTCAAGCCTGTCTCAGGGGACCTTTCGCGCCCGTCTTTTGGTCTTGATGGGGATGCGTTCGCGACGCTCGCGGCCGGTAGATTTCACGCCCTCTACCACTTCGCCGCCATCGACAATTTCTTCCTAGGGTGGGACGAGTTGGCTGCCGTGAATGTGGGTGGGCTGATGGACGTCATTCGGTTTGCCTGGGGGAGTGGGGGGGCGGGAGGGCGGCTGCCCGTGGTGTTTTATGCCGGTAGCTGTGCGGCGCGGCTGCATGACGTGTATAGGGCCGTTGCTGATGAGGCCGACGGCCGTCCGCCGCGCCGGTTGGGCTTGTACAACAAGTACGGTGAGCACAGCACAGCACAGAGGGGAGGGGAGGGCCGCCGTGTCTGTCTCTATGGGAGTGTCTGCGCGTGTGTCTGCAGTTATGGGTACACCAAGTGGCTTGGTCGCGAGTTGCTGCGGTGGTTTGCGCGGAGAGGCTTTCCCGCTGTGCACTATGATATCGGGTGGGTGAGTGCGTGATGCGATGCGCGAAAAAGCAACAGATAAATCGATCGACTTATTGCTGGCTGGATGGCCGGATGGGTGCGGTGCAGCTATGTGGCTCGCGTCGGTGCCGACGACACCTTCACCTCACTCACCAATGGCGACTCACTCGAGGTGAGTGACGACAGATGCACAATCACGTGCCGCCAGCATCACCTGTTTCGTGAACGTTCATCAGGCATTGCTCAAGTTCACCTTGGACAGTGAGGTGATGCTGCTGGATGACCTGCCCCTCGACCTAACCTGCCCCGACTACCTCGCACACGCCATCACGCTCCACTCCATGGACGTACTCGCCACCGGCCGTCAAAGCGCCTTCGATCTGCAGATGAGAAATCCACACACAATTAGGTCAGCCATCACCTTGAGTCGAGTGCAATTAAGAGCGTGGAAGGCATCTTGCGTCTGTGGATCAGTTTACACGGTGACGTGCTGCCTGTGTATCGCGACCTGTGTGGCAACCTGACGTTTGAGCGGTCGGTGGGCGTCCGTGAGGCGCTGCACCGGCACTATGCAAACACCAAAGAGGTGAGGAAGGTCAGCAGGGAGGGAGGGAGGGATCGTGCACACACTGATGTTGTTCATTCGTCTGCATGCAGCTGGTGGGGTCCACTTTAGAGCTGTTCCTGGATACCATCACAGAGCATCTGCCCAAACAGGTATGCAGTGTCGCAGTGAATGGAGAACCAAGACCCTTGTGTGACCAGAAACGCCTCCCTCCGCTGACAGGTTGAGGTGCTCTTTGCGGTCGACCCATCGCGTGTGTATCGGCACCCCCAGCTCAACTGCTACAAGTGAGAACGCTGGATGCACCGGCCGACGAGTCGATGCCTTCCCTCCTTGGTCCATCAGGCCTCAGTTCAGCGATCTCCGTGCCTTCCTGCACCACCTCAAGACACGTGTGCAGTTCCCTTCTTCTCATTGGGGCCCTGCAGTGGCCAACTGATGGACGGCTGGCAGTATGTGTGTGTATGTGTGTGTGGATATGGTTTGGCCTCTGAGATGCGACATGCCACAGTGAGTGGCGGGCGGGATGTGCGTGGCATTCTTGTGCGTCTTGCCTGCCTGCGTGTCTGTGTAGACAAGGTGCATGGCAGGACGACTGTGCAGAAACAAGGGATGGGCGTGCGAATGTGAATTTACCATTGGCGAGAATTCTCGCCGCGGGGACAAGAAATTCTTTCTTTTTTTGCGCCTAACACCGACGACCTCATTAATGTCTGCATCCTCGCAGCTTCCACGCGGACGGACACGGATGACAACTGGATTTTTGCCGGTGCTTTCCTCGCACTGTTCGCCGCCAACAGCTGCAGCGCCCGAAAAGCAGACTGGGAGGACGTTCACTTGGAACACCGTTTCTGGGCGTTGGCGCTGCTGCACTGAGCCAGCTTGTTGTGGATCTGGTCTTGTAGCTGATTGTGCGGCGGTTCGTGGGGGGAGGCAGGGCACATGTACAAAGCAGGCTGGAGAGAATGGAGAGACTCTGAGCTGCTGCCTCTGTAGAGAGCGCGAGAGATAGTGGGTACCCCGATTGGTGTACCATTGCTAAAGCCCAGCTTTACCAGGTCGGTTCTGGGTTACACGGCTTGTTTTTTTGGGACGAGATCGAGAGGCTTTTGACAAGGACTTGGGACTTTTGTTGCCGGCTCCTCGACACAACACGAGACACACAAAACGACACGAGACACACGCGATAGCATCTCGAGAAGATGTTGTCGTCGTCTGCCACCATCATGCTGATGGGCAAGCAGCTGGGCTGGCGGCTGCACGCGGGCAAGAAGAAGAAGAAAGAACGCGGGCAAGGAGAAGAAGCGGCCGCAGAAGACTGCCGACGTAAAGGACGATAATGACGAAGGCATCGTGTCGGAGCTGCTGTCGGAGTCTTTGTCTGATCCATGGCAAGATGCTGCTGCGCCTGAGGCGCCATCAACTGGCGAGCAGCAAGTACCAGCGTGATCTAACGTCGACGGCCTCATCCCCAACTCCCTCAGCTCACTTGCCTGCGACGAGCCAACTACAATTCCTCTCACACGAGCAGCACGCAAGAGAGACAAAAGCTGGACAGCCCGCGCCTGCGCGTGGCTGGGTACAAGGGTCAGCTTGAAGGGGCTGAGAGGTGAGCAGTACGTACAGTATCATGCCGCTCATACAGAGATCTCGCGTGACTGTGTCAATTGATTGCAGCCCGCGCCACGACGACCATCGGCCCTCGCGACGCTGGGGCACACAGACAAGTGAGACAGTCGACTATCACTCTGTCTGTCTGTCTGTCTGTCCGTCTGTGTCCATCATGCATCAGATCGCCCCCCCGTGAGGAGCGGCTCAGCGCGGGCTGCCGCGGCCATATTGGCCGACAAGGACGACGAGTACGAGCCCGGCAGCCGTCGCCATCCCCGCCGTGAGCGCCGCCCCCGCACGGACCCAGACGACACCGAGGACTACGAGCCGCCGCAAAGGAAGGAGGGAGGCCTGCCGGCCATGCAGCCCCGGCTGGTGCAGCTGCTGGACGACATCGATTTCGACGGTACGAGGGATGGGCACGAGACATGAATGATCTTGATAGTGTTCCTGAGTGTTGTCGGCTCGACAGACTATGACGTGGCCATATGGGACATCCCCAACGACGTCTTCGTGCGCTGACTGCACAGACACACCCACCCACCCCCACACACACACAGAGAGAGAGAGAGAGAGTTCGTCTTTGTGTCGTCAGGGGAGCGTCAAGCAGTGTTTGAAAGACAAGATGGACACCACAGCCCTGAACAAGCGCTACGTGAAAGACCTGGTTCTGCTGGTGGTGGGGGTCAAGAGGCCCATCGGCTACAAGGAGCGGGACATGTTGAAGGGCCTCCACGAGCTGCGCGGGAGCTGCATCACAGACAAAGACCTGAGATACACAGTGAGCAGCTCGAAGGGCCGCTGACATGTCATCGTGTACTTTCTCTCATTTCAGATGAACATGTCACCGAAGCCACACAGGAGCACAAGTATCACAAACTGGCAGAGTATTGGGACGGTGAGCAGCCCATAGCCTCGGCAAGAAAACATTTGTGTGATGGATTGACTTTTTGCTTGTTTGCTTCGATCAGCGGCCATCAACCGCAAGGAAAGGTGATAAGTCGGCGGCCGCGTGAAACCGACATTAGAGAGAGGGAGGAGAGGAAGGAGAGAGGCGGGCTGTAGCGGCACACATCATCGTTGCCTACATTTTATATCCGGCGTCGTTTTTGTGGTGCCAACATGCAAGCAGTGTCCGTGACTTGACCCACGACATGAAGGATGGATACGGCCTGACTGGCCATGTCGATGTACATCTGTCCGTGTCTTCGTGAGTGAGGGATGGGTTGAATCGATCAAACTGACAAATGAATCGACTTTGCCTCATATCTGTGTGTACACACGCGTCACGTCCCTCACTCAGACATATCCGCCTGTCCATCCATTCCATCTATCTCTCTCTCCCCAGCTGTCCTGTCCCACCACCAGCCCAGCAGCAGCCCCATCAGCCCTCCGCCGGCCGCCCTCGTCCGTCCCATTGTTGGATTGTTGCACCTGCTGACTGTCGGCCGTCCCCATGATGGGCGATGGACGCCTCACGGTTGAACCTGACACACACAAACATGGTGCAGACGTGGATGGATGGGTGGGTATCGATTGCATGGTGGTGTCGCACTCTTGGTTGACGAGAACTGCTGAGCGATGGTTGGCGTTGGTGTCGATAACGGACTTGTCGCGGCTGCCGTTCCGAGCGATGTGGTTGCCTGCAGACACCACACACACGACACGACACGCGTGTGAAACACACATGGGGACGTTCCTGCAGGCCTTCGTGCTTACTCGCTTCTGCAAGTGGTCTTTTCGACAGTGTGCAAACAGTGTGCCTGAGGTCGCTGCCGTGGATGATGCTAGGCAGCAAGCCGCGCCGCTCCTCTCGCCGGAGGCAGCACGAAATCACACAGGAAGACACAAGACGTGAGGCATGCATTCAGCCCACCTTTCTTGGGAGTCTTCTCTTCTTTTGCGAGCTCAGCAGAAGGAGGAGAGATCTCCCGGCCTAAGATGGGTCTGACACGCGCCTCTCTGATGGCCTTCTTCGCGGGCCTTGCCACACGCATCAGCGAAACACGACACTCACGTAGGAGAAACAAAGGATACATCCCATATCCTCGTGATCCTCGTGATGATGGTATCTATGCTGCTGTTGTCCGTGTTCAGTGAGCCTGCTGTCTTGTGGGCTTCCAGTGTTGGTGTACATGTTGCCGTATGGGTCGCTGAAGCTGCTGTCGCGCGTCGGGGAGAACGCCAGCAACTGGGAGATAGTCGAGATGCTCCTGTTTGTTGTGGCATTCAACGTCATATGGCCGCAGGTGGGGGTGGGTGGACACACATAAGGAAAGCCAGCTGGGGAGATAGATCTCATGAGCTGGTTGCTTGTATGTGTGTGTGTGTTTGTGTTGCAGATAGTGTTGTATGAGATACTGGAGGAGGGGTGGCACAGCGGTCTGATAGGGCCGTGTGTGGCGATCGTGCTGCACGCGTGTTTGGCTATCGGGGCCATAGGCGCTTGGGACAGGGCGCTGTCGCAGTCATTCAACGGCACCATCAAGGTGCGCTCACCGCCCACTCAGAGGGGAGGGATGGACACACACACACTCTGTGTGCGTGTGTGTTTGTGTGCCTGTGTGTGGACTCTGTCCTTTAGGGTCTGCGTGCGAATCACATCTATGCGGTCCTCTACAATGCCCAGTTCATCGTCGGCGCGCTCCTCTCGTTTGTTTTGCCCCGTTACTACCAGGCCTCTGGCGGCCTGCTGGTCCTCTACCTGCTGATCGAGTGTGTGTGGGTGTGCGCCGACCCCTCGGTCACACGCATCGGGGGCGTCTGGCAGATCGTCCTGCACCACCTCTGCTGCGCCGGCCTCTTCGCGTACGCCCTGATGCACTTTGAGGAGTGGGAGAAGATCGTCAACAGCATCACCGTGAGCGTCGTGGAGCTCAACAGCAGCCTGCGGATGGTGCGGCCGTATGTGCAGAGCACCCCCTTGGCGCCGCACGTCAATGGCCTGGAGGTCGCCACCTGGTATGTGGGCCGGCTGGTGTGTTTTGCGGCCACGAGCTATGTGGCGATGAGGCACCACTGGGCCTACTCGGCCATGATGGCCGCCCTCTACCTGCTGCAGATCTGGTGGACGGCACAGAGGATACGGAAGAACCTCAGCAAGCGGCACAAGCTGAAGAGGGAAAAGGGCGGCGAGGAGGACGGTGCTGGGGTGACAACGGCGGAAGACATAAAGGCGCAGTGAGGGAGCAAGCATTTGTCAGTGCTGCAAAGCGGCCGGCGCTAGATTCCTTCCTTCGTGTGTGTATGGTTTTGTGTGCCGATTTTGTTTTGTTTTCTCTCTGCCTGATGCGATGATCCATGGCATGATGCGTGGCGACTGTCTGTCTGTCTGTCTGTGTGCATACTAACTAGGGCTTTTTCATCCCTCCGCCCAATGAATGCATCTCTCTCTCTCGGCCTGCCTGCCTGCATGTGGGTGTACAGCACAGAACCCCTGTTCTGCCGACTGACTGACTTTGTGTGTGCGTCTTTGTGTGTCGACTTGATTGACTGGTTCGCTCAGTAGCCGACCGGCTGGCATATGAGCGAACGGCCACACTCTGTCTGTCATCGAATGGCGATTGACCACCGGCAGGCAGTTCCATCAGTGTGTGTCGAAAGGATGTCAGTCTGTAGTGACACAAAGAACACTCCCACAGACAGACATGGCTATCCACAACGCTTTGCACGATCCGATCCCTACACACACACGCCATGCGTCGATGTGACGTCTGCTAGAGTATCAAGTCTCTGAAGAAGTCGTCCATCTCGTCTTCCCGCGTGCGCGTGGCCTCCTCCCTCGGACCCTTCCACGCACGCTCCTCCAGCTCACGCAATGTCAGCTGCACACAACACAACACAACACAACACAACACGACACCACACACAACAGAGGAGGCCAAATGTGCACACGCCATCTCTCCCCCCCATCCCTCCCTCCCCACGGCACTCACTCACCTCGTCCATGTCCTTCTCGGTCTCCGGCGGCTCCCTCTCCTCCGCCTCGCCCGCTGCCTCGTTCTCATTCTCGTCTTCGGCTTCGGCTTCCCCGCCAGACGGGCTCTCTGGTTCCTCCTTGACCACCACTGGCTCTGCCTGCCCCTCCCCTTCAGGCTTGGCGTCCTTGCCTGCCCGTCTAGCGCGCCTCGACTCCTTCTTGGCCTTCTTCTTGGCCGCCTGGATGTGCCGATAGTTGAGCTTGTAGGCGCAGCGGGGGCACAGCCGCACCTTCACCAGCGCCTGATAGCAACGGAGAGAGAGAGTGAGGGAAAAACACGAGTGCACGGCAGGTGACGTCCCTACCTCTTTGATTGCGCCTGCTTCTTTGTATCTGAAGTGGACCTCGTAAGTGCGCATGTTGAACCGCTTGTCGCAGTGCTTGTTGCCGCACCGGAACTGACCCACACCCTGCACCACCTCGGCCTCGGTCCGCCACCGGAAGCCGACCTGGATACAGGCAAGGCAACACACAGATGTCTGGCTTGGCTTCGTCCGTGTGTGTGTCCGTGTCTGTCGGTCTGTGTGTGTCGTCACCAACCTGGTTCGATTTGTATCTTGTCAGGTCGCAGATGACGTACTCTTTGAACAGCCTGTCGTAGTAGCGCTTCGCCTGTCGCGCCTCCCAACTCCCATCGTCATCAGCCTACACACACACACACACGGACAGACATGGACACGCACAGTGAAACACACACACGTATGCCACCACGCTATGCCCTCCCCTCCCTCCCTCCCCGCTCAGCTCACCTCTGTCCGAAGAAATCTATGGTTCTCCCGCAGCGCGTCATAGTCCGTCTTGGCCCGCTTCTCGCTCCCCTGCTGCCCACCACCACCAGCTCCCCCGCCCACCCACCGCATCAGCAGCTGATGCCGCTGGTACGCATCCATCGACATCCACTCCTGGCGCGTCTCGTACGCACGAGCCTTCACAGCCGACTGCACGAAGTCTGGCTTCCTGGCGGGCGCCACGAATCTGTCACGCGTCATGGTGGACGGGCGTTTGTCTGCGGGCGGCATGTGGGATGCGGCGGATGACTGTGGCGGGTGGCGGAAGTCCTTGTCGTACGGCGGCGCACGGTGCGCCTGAGTGAAGTCGTTCTTGCGCTTCATGACGCCAAATGAAGGAAGAAGTGGATCCACACAATGCTTGCGGTCCAGCTGAATGGTTATTTCCACGAGTAGAGGGGTTTCAGGGAGGGCCCTTTGCGAGCCGAGGTTTGAGCTCGCCCGACGGGAAGAAGAAGAAGAAGAAGAAGAAGAAGAAGAAGAGGAGGAGAACAAGAGGGCAGCCTGACATCGCACTGGTTGCGGTGGGCGATACGCTGTCCTTCGCTGGATAGATAATTCATCAGCCGACGGTCACTGTGTTCGCTGCCATGGTCGGTTAGTCGGGGGAAAGGGGATGAGTCCACTGGCATGAGTGAACATTGTGAATGCGGCCTGGTTGACTCATTCAGGGCGCGGCACACGTCGGCGATGGCTGAGGAAGGCGGAAGGAATGGCGAGAGGCAGGTGCAGGAAAATTCGCTCTTGTACAAGACTGTCATCTGCAAGCACTGGCAGGAGGGCAAGTGCGCCCGCGGAGCCAAGTGCACATACGCGCACGGCGAGGTGAGCTGTCTGAAGAGAGGCTTGAGCCGCTGAGAGCCGCACACAGCCGCTGAGCCGTGTGTGCGTGTGCCCCCAGGAGGAGTTGCGCACGAGGCCCGATTTGAGAAAGACCCGCCTGTGCCGGGGCTTCATGAACGGCACATGCACAGACGCCAAGTGCGTACGCCACCACACCACACGTGCACTCACAACACCACACCACCCTCTCTGCTGCTGCTGCTGCTGCTGCTGCTACAGCTGCAGGTTCGCTCACGGCCAGAGGGAGCTGAGGGAGGCCCCTCAGGCAGCCAGCCGCCCGTCAACCCCGCATCCACTGCCGCAAGTGCTGCCAAAGACCCTATGGCACCGCCCAACCCCCTCACTGCCCCACCGGCTTCCTCTTTGCTCGTCGCTGCACCGAAGCAGCAGCCATCGGTGGCCCCGCCACAGCAGCAACAGCAGCATTCTATGCCGATCATCCTGCGGCCGCCGGTGCCGCAGGAGCGAGTGCGGACCGGCCGGGCCCCTCTCCCTGTGGCGCCCACCATGGCCCCTCTCAACCCCACACCCCTCAACCGAGATCACAGCCGGCATGAGGCAGCACCACAGCCCCCTACAGCCACCGCCAACCACCCCGACCGACCAAGCATTCGCTCGCGAGACTATGCCCCGGATGACCCTCTGGAACATATGGACGACTGGCCGCCGGACGAGAGGGATGGGGAGGGTGACGTGCGGAGCCTGCCGCCTTCGCTGGATCGCGCCCTCACAGCTCACGACGGCATCTATCGCAGCGTGATCGAGACCCTCACGGGCACATACATAGAGCTGCACGATAATGGTACGGCGCATTGAATGGGTGGGTGAGTGCTGTGTGTGCCGTGGATGGTGCTGTCTCCCTCCCCGACCTCCTCGTTCATTCAGACATCTCGGTGAGCGGCGGCGAGCAGGAGGATGACGTCACTAGGGCGTTTAGGTATATGAAGCTGCTGATGCAGTACGTCGAGAGGGGCGCCGCATCCCTCAAGGAATCCGACAACACCGGCAACCTGGACTTCCTCCCGGTGCACAGAGATATCATTCGACTCGTCATGGGTGGCCAGCCAGGCAACAGATAAGGAATACAGGCTTGTTGTGTATGTGTGTGTTTGACGCTTCAGGGGAGCCCGCCGGTCCTGGCGGTGGTGTTGTGAGCGCCGCGGCTGTCCGTCTGATGCGCGAGTGCGGCTGTCTGCTGATACCTGGCAAGAGCAAGGAGTCTCGGCAGCGCGGCATAGCCATATTCGGAGCCAACCGGTGAGAAAGACGGGAAAACACCATGACATGAGCATCAAACCATCAGTGAAAACACTGCGTGTCGTGTCGGTCAGGCGCGACCGCATCGCCGCGCAGCTGCGTTTGATGCGCCTGGTTGAGAGTTCCGACCACCCGGCAGCATTAGGATTCTCCTCTGCACGTAACACTACACTCCAAACATGCCTTGTGTATGCATTCGTACGTCCTTTGGTTGTGGGTACCTTCTGTCAGGGTGGACAGGAAGCCGCCACAGCCGGCGAGACGAGCTGGCCATTGACCGCATACAGTTGTCGGATGAGGACCTTCACGTGTTCCGTCGCATGGGCGAGGGGCGGATGGCCGCTCTCACGAGGCGCATCGCTCGCGCGTCCCGTGCGTGCGGCGTCGAGAGAGTCGCAGACCACCTGCTGATCGGAGGTGAGCCTCCCCCTCCCAACATGCCATCTAACATGGTGTCTGTGCCAATTACCTAGCATGGTGTCTGTGCGCGTCTTGCACGTAATTAATGTCAGGGATGTACGAGGAGCGGCGTGCTGCCATAGCGTATCTCCGGCTGCAGGGGCTGTGGGAGCAGGGCAAGGACGGCGACCTGTGGAGGGACCTGCGGGACAGGGAGGACGTCCTGCTGCTGCTGCCGCCGGTGGGGGCAGCGATGGACAGCGACGACAAGGAGCGGCTGGCGGACAGCACCGGGACGCTCGTCTTCATGCATGAATTATCTGGAAGGTTAGTAAAGGAAGAGCGAGGGACGCACAGAGCAACACACGTCAGCCATGTCATGTGTGTGTGTGTGTCAGGGTGGCCATCGTATCAGTGGACCCACAGGCTCGTCAGGCCGCCGCAGGCCATCGCTTACTCGGCAGCCCCTCACCGTCCGCCCACATGTACGCCACCCAGCCACATCCATGAAAGCACCGCATGCACACATCGACGCGCCGCGTTGTGCCTGCAGGGATGGTCATGCGGACCGACGTGCCAACGATGGACCACGGAACGTGCATCCAAGAAGGCGGCATGAGGAGGTGCGTGTGCCAAAGGCAGGCAGACACCACTGGTGCACGTACCCATGCCATGCCTGTATCGGCTCTCAGACTGAGGTGGATGATTGGCCGGGAGCGCCGGACGAGCCTGGACCGGCGGATCGCAACGACGAGGAGGACTCCGATACGAGGCGCAGGTCAGCCGCAGACGCCTTCTCCTCCACCAGCCACTCATTGCCTGTGAGCCTCTGCCCGCGTGGGCGTGTGCAGGATTGCTGATCTGGAGGCTGAGTTGGCACAAGTAGAGGGCGAGATCCGCAGGGAGGAGGGACTCACACGCGTGCAGCAGCAGAAGTGAGCGGGCAGGGAACCAGCCAGCCAGGACATCCACCCACCCACCAATGTTGGTGTGTCCGTGCGGTCCATGCAGGTATCAGCGGGCTTCCAGCGATAGCGAGAGGGCCCAGCAGTGTCTGGACGCCGCAGAGCCCGACATAGACCGACTGGAGCCCCTCTTGCACACCTACCGCCCCCAGCCCTTTCACAAGTCTGCCACACACACACACACCCCTAACACACATCAATGTCTCCCTTGTGTCGTATGCAGCCTGTCTCAGTCGGCTGTGGACTCGGAGCGCTCTCACAGTGGCCTCAGGAGGCTGCGTGTGGATGTGTGTGCGGCGATCGAGGAGGCGCGTCGGCACGAGAGCCGCGCCAGGCGGGCGGGGGCTGAGGCGTGCGAACGTGCGGAGGAGCTTGCGAGGCTGCGGGAGCATGTTGAGGATAAGCTGGGGAGGGGCAGGTGAAGGGGTGTAGGGACGGACAGAGATGGGGACGTGTTGGGGAAGATGCTGCTCACTCTCGTGGATGGGTGGGGTGTGCATACACATGACATGACGGGCTTTGTATCCACCAAGTCACTCGTATCTATTTGATTGACTTGCCGTGCGCATCTTTCCAGTTTTCTCTGCTCTCCCCGTCTCCATGCACTGATTGATGGCTGCGTACGCGGATGCTCTGTCTCTCTCAGCTGCCTGCCTGCCTGCCTGCCGTGTACTGTACAGACAGATGTGTCCTTCGCTTCGCGTGTGTGGATACCTAACATGCCCGACCCGTCCGTCTATCATCGACTCATCCATCCATATCGGTTCGGGACATGTGTGTGTCATCATGTCCGGTTCGCCCACCGAGGTGAGGTATACACACACACAAACAAATACACCCGCCCCCCCACCGAGGCAAGAGCAGACAGAAGCTTAGGATACACAGTCTCTATCATGATCCATCACGATAGATAGAGCTACACACACACGTGTATACGGAGGCACAGAGAGAGATAGAGATAGCCAGACAGTCCAGTCAGTCACCCCTGACCTCCTGCCGGCAGACAGATACACCACACCATTCGCCCTCCCCCCGACACACTCGTCAATCACACAGGCACGTCAGTTACCCTCTGCTCAGCACTCTGTGACTCGAAGTAACCGTCATACGCTCCCGGCAGCAGATACGCGATCGGCCGATGAGGGGGAGCACTGCAGGCCAGGCAAACACACATCACACACAGAGAGAGAGGGCCAGAGACAGGCAGTGAAACGGCCATGGACAGACACAGGCAGGGCTACTGACGTACCTGGTCATGACATGTTGAGCCATGAAGATGAAGATAAGATAAGAGCCGGCCAGCACAGCATTGACCGCCACCTTAAGCCACTTGCACTCTACCCCCATCGCCGACAAGGCCTTGGGAAAGAGATACATGGTCAAGTTGCACACGGCATTAGCAGCGACGCCGACAAGGAGCGGCGCGAGGCTTCTGCACCATTCCGTGAGCGCACTCGACTGGACCATCGCGTGCCGCTTCCTCACACAGCCGGCCACCAGCAGTGCGGCGACGACATAGGTCGAGATGAATCGGCTCCAGAGCTCAGCTGAGACCCCCAAATGCAGCAGTGACCAGGTGGCTATCAGTACGCAGTAGGCCCCCTCCCTCAAGTAGAGCGACACATAGCCCGCAGAGAAGCCACCGCCACCACTAGCAGCAGCATGTTGGTGCCGCAGCCGCAATAGCGCCTCTCGGGCGGCCTGGTGCACCCTCCGACCGTTCAGCAGGCAGTAGGGCAGGCAGATCGCGGATGCGAAGAACAAATACACATAATAAAGCACCGATACACCCAAGAACCATCTCGTCTTGTCGCAGACCGCGTCACGCATAAGCCAGGCGCGCAGTCCGCCGCCCGCTGCCCACATCTCGGTGCCGAACACTGCCAGTGGCGCGCCAGCAACCGTAGCGATAAACGCGATGGCCATCCGCACCCCACACCGCAGCGAAGCACTGCCACCATGTTGCCGCCCCGCCAGCCAATCGAACGCTCTAGAGTGAGGCCGACCAAGATGGCCGTGGAGATAACTCGGTGGAGAGGGAACCCTCTGGCCAGTATGTTGGTGTCGTCAAGGCCAAAGAGGACTCCTACCAATAGCGGCAAACACCCCAATAAACTGTATGAGACAGACAAGATGGCGTCTGGGATGAGGCCGACAGGCAGACGAAAAGGGCCGCGCGGACCAACGTCATAACGCCTGAACCAACACACACCGGGTAACCAATGCACATCAATCACAGATACCTCTGTGTACCAACTCACGTCCGGCAGACGTCACACAGCGCCTTCCTCCTCCCCGGAGCGCACACCCATCCGCCCAGACACGCCTTGTGCACCCATCTGAGTGTCCCTCGGCAGCCGCAAGGCGCCAAGAATATGCCGGTCTCA